TGGCGACAGAGGCCTGCCAAGCCAGCCGGGGGGGATGGCCAGCCTGGGCCTGCCACGTACGCAACTCAGGGCGGGGGGGGGCGCCGCCTGAGACTAAAAGCTCGATGGGGGGGGCCAGCTCACCCGCTGGGCGGGCAGCCTCCGTGCGATGGCGGGGTAGCATCGCCTGAGACCTGCAGCACACTGAAACACATTGGTGACTGGCATGGGAGCGCCGAACGGGGGGGTCTGCAAATGTCGCTCTGTGCCAAGAGCGACATGGGGGCTCACGGTTGCACCGCATGAGAATGCCAAGTGTTCTGGTTGGGCGCAGCTAACAGCCGCAGAAATGCGTGGAAGAGGCTGTCGCCTGAGACACACTGGGGCCAGACACGGGGAGGCAGGCGCGGGGGCAGCCGATTGCTGCCCACGACCAAGAGCGGGGGGAGTGGGGATCACCCCTCCTTATTTCCAGGCCGATCTATGTTGACGACCTCTCTCCATGGGGCTCGCCTGCCGCCGCAGTCCGCTCGCAGGCCCGCAACATGCGAGTCAATGTCAACCGTGAACGATCTTACCTGATAGCATAGCCTTCCTCGGAAGCAGAACCGCACATGCGACAAGATCTGGAACTTCAATGCCAGTGCACCCACTCTGTTGTATTGCAGCGTCGATGTGCGTCCTAGAGGTACTATATCCTCCCACGTGAGAAAGGGCTTCTGACGCTCTGCAACCTCCGGCGCAGCTTCCTTGATCACTATAGGACCCTGCCCGCTCATACTGAAAACGGGTGCGCGCTAAGATATGGAACGAAGCTCGACTGCTTGAGCACACATGCTAAACAAAATACCCAGGATGCCCCAAGCGGCCCCAAGACGGCACCCAGGATGCTCCAAGCGGCCCCAAGACCGCTCCATGGCGGCTCGAGATGGCCACGGAGCCCCCCAAGCCTCCCTCTCTGTGATCATGATGTTTTTTAGCGCAATGGCAAAAAGAGGCCCCTAGAGGTCAAACGGCGGCGAGTGGCGGCGAGCGGTGCGCATACACACGCCACGCACGCACGATCTCACACCCGTGAAACTTTACCACGAGCTAGCCAGCAGACCGCGCAGCACCGCTGGTCTAAGTCAGCCTCTAGGGGCAATAAGAAGGAGCACCCCCATGCTGGGATTACTCAAGTCAAGGCAGCCAGAAATCAGTCACTTACTCCCCTGATGGGATAGCATTCACTCTGGCCCTCGCCAGTTGTTTCTTAACTCTCTTTAAGGTTGATTCAGGGTCTGGGGTTACATCACACGAAACAGCACGTGAGATCTCAACAAGGAAGTCCGTAGGCATCTTCCTCGTTAGACAACCAGCAGCCATAATATTTGTATCGACCCATCGGATACTATCACAAACTTTGCGTGGATGTAGGATCTCTACGTCTGCCATTCCATTCGTCCAAATATCCTGTCATAAACTTCCTGAATCAATATTAAATCGCTTCTCTTCTGTCTTGACCATAGTTGGGGCTATAAAAGGTTCTACAATACTCTTGCAATCCGTCACCCATAGATGTCTCGTAGACATGGGCGACTTGCCTCCCCAATTGGTTGGCAGCTTCTTTCCGGCACCGAGCATCCCACGAGCATCTGCGATGGCGGCGCGGATGCGTGCACTAGATTCTACACCCCATAAACAAGCCAAAATCCCTGCTTGCAGTGTAGATTTACACACTCGCTTTATAACTCTACTAGATATACAGATACGGTGAACATGATCACTGTTCCCCTCGATGAACCCAGGCCCTTCCAGGAAGGCCATGTTGATGTCGAGGGAGGCAATGATCCATTGCTTCTTGCACGCAGCCGAGCTCAGGAGTAGTCTCTGGCTTGACCACCGCGCTGTTTCCGAAAAGGCTTCCACATCAAAGGCTTCAAGGACCATTAAGCCTTGAAGCACCAAGCGCAATATGATGGCACGTTCCATTTCGCCCTTCTCGTTCTTCACAAATGTTCATGTGCACGCATACCTCGAAGTCATGATGTGTGACGTTTTTGATAGACCTTGCATTTTGAAGCATTTGTTGTCGAACCATGTCTTGAATTCAGTGTATAGGGCCTTCGATACTTTCTCGGGATCCGCCTGGACGTCAGTTTTCGCGAGGAGGCCGTCTTCTTTGGCGACCACAGCTCGCTTTGCAGCGGCGGCAACATATACTCGCATGGTGGCCACACGGTCGACATCGAATGTCCTGTGCCGTTGTTCGGACAGGACTACATTTGACATATCTGCCGCGGAGCAGAGTTTTACAGATTGTCCATTTTCGACTGAGTCCAGTCCGTAACTGCAATCTTCGACCGTGGAGCACAGTGGGACATGATACGTCTCCTCGATGTCGGAGTCGCGTGGATGACCCCACTTAGGCAGGTGCCCCCGCTGTTTTTCAGCTACAATGATCAGCACACTGCTGTCTGGACTTATCTGTGTGGGCACTGTGAAAAGATCCTCTAGTGGAGTTGCCTCCAGTGGTTCCATTTCATCCTGTAGTGCTGTACACCACACTTCCATAACGTGTGCCTCGAGATCAGCCTCCGATTCCTCATGAATCGTGGGAAGCCGCCCATCCTCCCGTGGTGGTTCGGCGCCTGGGGCTTCTCTTGCGGTTCCATCCGGCGCCGGTACATCTGCCAATTCCTCAAACTTTGCCAACTCCCGCTTGAGGTTTGGTGGACTTCAGGCACTGGATGGTTCTAGAATGTGCGATCCAGTTATATCGTGAATGCTGCGAGCGGTGCCTTCTGCTTCATAATGATGAGATCCTGGATTCGCATCGCTGTCATCGTGGACCAATGTGCAACTGTCAGCGTAATCAACCGGAGGTTGCTTATGGACACCCTTGGCTAACCTCACCGAAACTACGTTCTCAACGCGGAAGAAGTCTCTGATAAGGCACTGCAAAGCCAGATGTACCTTAGGAGACAGTCGGCTTGCACTTGTCATCTGAAGCATCCCCTTCTTGGTCGGGACATAGCCAAATGTCACAGCAGGTCCCCCAGCAGGCAAACTGGCCACGAACGTCAACACTGTCCGTAATGCAGCGCTATCGGAGCCAATTTCTCTGGCTATCAAAGCTTCAACATAAAGTAAATGTCGTGCATCGCCGTATTGTGCCTGAACGTCGCGGCTTCACACTCAAATGATGACTTGGCCTCTCTCGGGATCGTTTCTTACGACTGGTAATGGGCCATTCCAGTCTCCCCAGTCTTCCTGCGTGGTTTTGGGGCGATGGTAATCAACTGAATATCCTTCATCGTAGTAATGCTGACCGGTGGCAGCTCTCCTAGTGCGTAATGCACGATTGGTCTCGGCTACTGCAGTGGCCTGTGTGATAGCTTCAATGCATACGTTGCGCTTCATCTGTTCACGAGAATAATCCGACGTTTCCGTCGGCTGTTCGTGATCGAGGATAGGCAGGTCAGGGAGCACTTCCGGTTGCCGTCCAAAAAGGGCGCTGCATGGAGACACCCCATTATAGAAGTTGAACGCGCTGGCGGCAAACAATGCCTCATGCAGTAGTCGCGTGAACACAAGAAGTAAGTCTAACCTGTTAAGTTCAGCTTCCATGACATGAAGTAGATGGCGCAATATGCCATTTCTGGCTTCGATCGTCGTAGCGCGTTGTCCACGCGCACGTTTCCTTAGTTCAGTGCCCTTTGCCTCAAGGACTACGTTCGCAGTGTCGTTGTTGAGGACACCCTCTCCATCGGAGTAGATTACCCTTGCATGTCCAAACTGCATCCAACACTGATGGTATGCATCCAGGATACTGGTCATCGCATTGTCTGGTATCTCCATTCCAGTAGCCTATCGAATGCAACGATCGATGGTATTGCATCGATTATGGTCTTGTTTGTCGAACATAAGGTCACAGTCCACTTCTTCGTTGAACTTGCCAGGCAGTGCAGTAGATGGTATAACCGTATGCCTAGGCTTGTCCCAAGCCCTGCACTCCCGACATGTGTCGCAGACACCTTTTATCAGGTTGAGTCGGATTTTGTCCAGACCTATCTTGGTTGAGACGAGTCTCATCTTAGGCTCTTTCGCATGGAACCAACGCAAGTATAGCTTCCGCAGCTCGCGTGTTACCACACTTGGGTCAAGGCGTCGTAAGCTTTGTACACTGATTTGTACGTCGAACCTTGACCAGTCTGGAAGCCGTCGTCGTGCAGCAGGGTTACCCGCCCCGCTGGCGGCGGTGGAAGTGAATATCCTCCTTGCTGTCGGCCACGTCTGACTCTGACCCGTGGCAGTCGGATGCACTCACCCGAACTCCCAGCTCCACTCGAGGCAGATTGCCCTGCAGCAGGTTCAGCAGCATGTCTCCCTACTGTAATGTCGAGGCTGCTGACACCCGCCGTGGGTCCGGCTCTAGAGCCGGGTCTTGGTGCTCGTAGCCGCACAAGTGGTGGTGCGGCTTGCGCCTCGGGTGGTGGTGCTGCTGATTCGGCAAAAGCCGATGGTGCCTGTCCGCAATTGTCAGGCAGCTTCCGACGTTTGGCAAACTTGCATGTGCCAGGTGTCCGTACATGTCCAGGAGCGTTCTGGCCGTAGTTCTTCTTGCAGCTCGGACATTCCCAATGATAGTCTTCCTGGTCGTACCACCTGCAATGCTTGGGATTTCTATCATGTGAGAGAGAGCACATGTTAAAATAATCCGCGCATGCAAGACATCCTAACCCTCCCGAGGGCGGTCTCGCGATCGAACCGTCGGGTTGCCGAAGGATAGTTGGATCGTACAAATCCTATCCCCTCACATTGGCGACTAGCACGGTGGAAGAAAAAGAGTGACCATGAACCCGATCACGGTTTACCTGGAAAAGATCGTGCGCGATCTGAACTGCGTCGACAAAAAGAGACTGCATCTTTGAAGTGCAATCAACAGCCATGGACACCCGCCGCGGGAGGGCTTCTTAGACAAGACAGCCTTCCTGGACAAGGTGGAGGAAGAGGCGGAGGAGGCCCCCCCACCCCCGCGCCTGCCGGCAGGGCACCGACGCGAGCGCCCGCGAGCTCTGGCCCTCCCGGCTCATGCCCCCGAGCTCCTGCCCGGCGGAGGGGCCCCCACCACGACGACGGCCACGACCACAACGACGACGACGACGACGACGACGACCACAGCAACAACTACCAGGACGACGACGATGACGACGACGACGACGACAACGACGACGACGACGACAGCAACAACTACCACGACGACGACGACGACGACGACGATGATGGCGGCGACGGCGACGGCGACGGCGACGGCGACGGCGACGGCGACGGCGACGGCGACGGCGACGGCGACGGCGACGGCGACGGCGACGACGACGACGACGACGACGACGGCGACGACGACGGCCACCACAACTACGACCACGACGTCGACGCATTCTTTGGATAGGTTCTAAACGCTTCTGGAGGTTCTCGTCGCCACATCTGTATATGGCTCGAAAAACTGGGAAGAAAGCAGAGCGGGACGGATCCCAGAAAGGGTCCGAAAAACGGTTTTGAACAGGTCTGGCCGGCGACCACGACCATGACGACGACGCAACGACGACCACGACGACGACGACCACCACCACCACCACGACGACGACGACGTCGACATCTTCGGTTCGGAGGTTGTGGCGTTTGCTGGACGTGGTTCAAAAAACTTGCCAGGATGGACCCCAGGAGGAGTCCGGGGTCAGGAAACGCTTTCGATCAGACTTGGTCGGACGACGACGACGACGCCGAAGACGACGGCGGCGGCGGCCACCACAACCACGACCACGACGACGACGACCACCACCACCACGACGACGACATCGACGACGACGACGACGACGACGACGACAACGACGACGACCACGATCACGACGACGCCCCCATCGACGGCGACCACGACGACGACGACGTCCGCGGGGAATTGTTCATCGTTTCTGGAGGTTCTCGTCGCCACGGCTGGACGCGGCTCCCCAGGCGAAACCCGGGGGATGGTCAAGGAACCGATCTTAAGCAGATTTAATCAGACGAACGACCATGACGACGACAACCACAAACACCACCACCACCACCACAGCGACCACTACCAAGACCACGACCAAGACGAGCACGACCACGACCACAAGGAGCACGACCACAACGACCACGACGACGACGACAACGACGACGACGACCACCACCAACACCACCACCACCACGACGACGACGACAACGACGACGAGGGGAGGCGGCCTCGCCCTCTTCGGGGAAGAGGTGGGCGAGGGGAGCGGGACAGGTGGGGAGGCAGTGGTGAGGAGAGGGGAGGAGGTCTCCCCCGCCTCCTCCTCCTCTTCCTCGTCCTCCTCCTCCTCCTCCTCCTCTTCTTCTTGTTCTTCTTCTTCGTATGAGTACCATTATTATTAATAGTAGCATTATTAGTTGTATTAGAATCATCATTATTAGCATTAGTATCCTTATTATGTTTATTCTTCGTTTTTGTATCATTCTTATTGTTATTATGATTAACTTTCTTCGTATTATTATTGGTAGCATTGCTCTTATTATTATTAGTATTAATATTTTCCTTCGTAATAGTTTATTTGTTATTAATATTTTCCTTCTTAATATTATTATTCGCCTTCTTACTACTATTAGTATGATTCGTCATATGTTCCTTCTTCGTAGTATTATGCTTAGCAGTATCATGATTATTCTTCTTTCTACTATTATTACTAGTATTGTGATTCGTATTAATATTGTCCTTGTTATTCGTATTAGTATTGTTATTATTAGTGGTGGTATTCCTCTTACTAAAATAATTATTATTATTAGTAGTATTATTGTCCTTACGTGTTTCTTGGTCGTCCTCCTCCTCCTCCTCTTCCTCGTCCTCGTCCTTGTCCTCCTCCTGTCCATGCGCGTCGCGACCATCGCCGTCCGCAGGGGCGCACCGCCAGCCGTCCCAGGGGAGGGGTAATCAGCTTCGAACTTGCACCCATCCCCAAGACTGGCCAGACACAGGGCGACGGCAATCCTAGGGCTGCGCCCTCGAAAACGAGGGGAACTCTCAAGATCAGCATCGAGATGAAGCGATGCCAGTCGTAGGGGCGGCGTCCTACTCCATGCTTGCGTTTCCTCGACCCTCTCCAGCTGTCCCACTGGAGGCCTCCCAAATGGGGTCGGGGTCGGACTAGATGCGCTCGAAGGATCGCGCCGCATCGGCGACGTCGGCGACGCATCGGCGACGTTGGCATGGAGAAACTTGGGCTCAACATCGATCCGCATCGCCGATGCATCGGCGATGCGGCGCGATCCTCCGACCCCATTTATCGGGGGCGCGCAAACATGGATTAGCGATCCAGGGAGGCGGCGCGCGGTCGCCACATCCATGGATCCGGGCGAGGTGCCCTCCCCATCCGTGCGGCTGGGGGCGCCTCGCTCGGCGCCGGCAATCCGCGGTTCCCTCTATGGAAACGGGACCCGTCGCCAATCCACGCCCCCTTGCAACCCATGCTTGCGATCGCCTGAACCTATGGGAGGCCGGGACCCAAGCGACCTGGCCTGTGGCCCACCCGCCCCCCCCCCCCCGGGGCGGGCGGGCGGGCGCTGCGGGACGGCCAGGCGCCGCCTCCCCCCCCCGCGGCGGAGCGCGGGCCACCCCGCCAGGGGGCACCGCTCGAGGAGAGGACCTCGCAGCGGAAGTCCTCAGCGAGCGACGTCCCTGTCGTTCGGGGTCGAGCGACGTCCCCCCCCCCAGCTTTAGGTCGGGCCTGTCCCCCTACAAGGGGATTGTGGGCGAAAAATGAAAGATATTCGAAAAATCCGCCGACCCTGTGTCGGCGTGTGTGAGGGTTTTTGTCCGCTCCCGTCGTTCGTTCGTCGTCGTCTCCGTCGTCTCCTGTCCCTCCAGCCACCCTTCCCTGGCCCAGTCGTCTCCTGTCCGCGCTCCCCCTTTCCCTGGGCCCGTCTCCCCTCCTTTCCCCCTCTTCCCTGGGCCCGTCGCCGCTCCCCCCCCGCTTTCCCAGGGCCTCCCGGCCCTTCAAGATCAACGCTGTCAGTGAGTCGAAGGGAAGCCCCTTCCCTTTCATCCCTCCCCTGCCAAAGGGGGGGGGGTCCCAGGCGAGGCCCCGCGTCAGATACGAGTCCCCCCCCCGGGGGTCCCAGGGCCCACGCAAAGCTTCAGACGGGCCAACAGCCGAGGCATTCTACCACGCCCCAGCCCTGGCCCCAGCGCCCCGGCCCGGCCCTGGCCCCAGCCCCGACCCCAGTCCCACCAGCCTCGGCCCTGGCCCCGGCCCCGGCCCCGGCCCTGGCTCCCGGCCCTGGCTCCCGGCCCGCTCCGGCCCCAGCCTTGGCCCAGGTCATGGCTGATCGCCACGCGACCCTTCCTTCGTGCCCACCCCGCGACCCTGCTCGCCTCACTCTCCTCCTATTCACTCCCCCCCTGTGCTCCTCCTCCTCCTCCTCCTCCTCCTCCTCCTCCTCCTCCTCATCCGCATCTTCCTCCTGTCCCCCTCTTCATATTCCTCCCAATGCTCCGCGCCCTCCTCCCCAACCTCAGGATCGGCGGCACCAGCCGTAAGGCCTTCACAATACTCCCAAAATGCTCAAAAATAGTCGAAAAATTATCCCGGCAAAGCAACCTAACAGCGATATGTAGAAGCATATCTGAAAGCATTCCCCTTAAGATTCAGATGAAAATCCAGTTGTAGAATTCTGCTGTTCTCGCAGTCGTAGTCGCATTCGCGATGACAGTCGCAGCGGCAACGGCAGTCGCAGTCACAGCCTCAAACTCAGCCTGCCTCAGCCTCAGCCTCAGCCTGCCTCAGCCTCAGCCTGCCTCAGCCTCAGCATCAAGCTGCTTCAGATCAGCCTCACGCCGCTAAGCCTCAGCCTCAGTCTGCTTCAGCCCTCAGCCTCAGTCTCGCCTTCAGCTCGGCCTAAGCCTCAGCATAGCCTGACCTCAGCCTAAGCCGGCCTCGGCCGACAGCATCAGCCTGCCTCAGCATTCAAAATGTGCCCAGAATGGAGTCTGAACTAGAAGAACACGAAGGGCCACAGTTGCTCTGGGCATTCAAAATCATTGCCAGGAGGCCCAGGAATGAAAGTTCTGGGAAATCGAGGAGGGAAATCGAAGAGCACGAAGTGGCCTACAGTTGGCTCCGGGCATCCAACATGTGGCCCGGGAATGGAGTTCTGGGAAATCGAAGAGCACGAAATGGCCTACAGTTGGCTCCGGGCATCCAAAATGTGGCCCGGGAATGGAGTTCTGGAACTCGAAGAGCACGAAATGGCCTACAGCTTGCTCCGGGCACTCAAAATGTAGCCCGGGAATGGAGTTCTGGGAGGTCGAAGAGCACGAAGTGTGTGACTGTTGACGAAAAACGAACCCGGCTCTGTTCCCGGTTCTCTAGAATGTGGCCCGGGAATGGAGTTCTGGGAGGTCGAAGAGCACGAAGTGTGTGACTGTTGGCGAAAAGCGAGCCCGGCTCTGTTCCCGGTTCTCCAGAATGTAGCCCGGGAGTGGAGTTCTGGGAGGTCGAAGGGCACGAAGTGTGTGACTGTTGGCGAAAAACGATTCCCGGTTCTCCTCCCCGGCACCCGCCCAGAACCCCCTGAGGAGTCATGATGCTCTCTTTTGAGCCTACTAGAAACCTATCAGCAAACGCTGTTAGGTAATAACCCCCTGACTGTGTTCTGACTATCTTTGAGTATTCCTCCTGTAGAGGGACAGGCCTGATTTAACCCTAGCTCGTCCTGGAGGAGGAACGAAGGAGGGCATAAGCATGCAAGCTGCCGAGTGTCCGCGCGGCTGCCCTGGACCGGGGCTCCGCCACCCCAGGGGGCGGGGGGGGGCGGCAGCTGCGCCACCACGGAGGGGGTCCAGCGCAGATCCGAGAAGTCCGCGCGGACCTGCGAGAGGTACGTCGGCTTGATGCTGCATCGGCCGCCGCGGCTGTCCCCAAGGCGTCCGGGAAAACTTGGGGAGCGCGCGGTCGATCCGCACGCCCGCTGGGGGTCCCGAAACGGAGCGGTGACAGACCGCGCGGCGACCCAGGAATCCCCAACGACATCACCGCACGGTCCGCCA